ACTCGGATTGAGCACGCACGGGAAGGGGATAGAAATGGAAAAAATGTTAGTTAGCCCTACCTCTTTGCCGACTTGGATCTCCATTTTTAACACGTGAAAAACGAAATAGACAACTAGAGAATCTCCAGCTGTTTATCCTCATCTAATCTAACTAACTAGGGAGTTGGTTAGAGTGGAGAAAGGGTGGGAAGTCGAACTAGAAAAACAGAACGGAGAGAGTGGTTCCCACACGGAACCTACTCGACAAAAAGCCAGAGAGAGAAGAAAAACTAGGGAGAGAAGTAGAGAGAGAAAGTGAAAGGGAGAGAGTAGAGGTTCCACGGCCGAGTGTTCGGCGCCGCCTTGGCTGGAAGAGTGCCGGCGGATCGGCCGATGAGTGTGACCTCCTCCTCCATACTCCGGCAAGATGGTTGATCGTGAAGAGGTGAAATGCGGCCTAGATCGTCCAATTTAGGACTTTCTCGGCAAATCCAAGACTGTAAGCTGATAAAACAAGTGTAAAGGGACTAAATTGTCACTTGCTGGTGGTTCGGAAATTCAATTTTGGCCTCCAACTATGAAGGTGAAAACTCTTCCCGCTCGCACTTCATTTGTTTGTCAAAATGCCTAAATGGATGTCCAAACTAATACATGTTTGATAGTTGAATTTGCTTGTTGTTGTTGTGCTTATTAATTCCTTATTCAAGTTTCTAATCCATTTTTTGCTCATTTCGTGTATTTTGGATCGGTGATTTAGCATGTGCAACGAGTTGGCCTTCAAAACCCCCTCACCGGAGTCGATAGACCTTACCAGAGCATCAAACCTTGGGGCATCCTATTCATTCCAATCAATCAAAACAGGTATTTAAACTTAAAAATGATCCGAATGAACTGACTTGAACAGGTTGTTAGATAGGCTAGATTCGATTAGTTTCAAGCTATGATTTTCGGCTTGAGAGTCGCCAGCTAGTGGTGGTTTAGCAATGGTTCAATAGGAATGGATGGTTAGAAGGCAACTAGGGGAAGGTTTAGGGTCGTTTATAGTAGTCGGAGCAATGGCGGAAAGCCATTAGAGTAGCGGCCGAAGTCTTGTTAAAAGTGTGATATCACGAATCGGTGTGCACTTGAAGTGCTCGACGAAATGCCCAAAAAAGAAAAGGAGAAGAACGGCGCCGTTTGGCACCGTTCCCATCGGGGAAGGCCGGAGACTAGCTCAGGCCGGTCCGGTTATCTCCGGGAATAAAAAAAATCCAATAAAATTAATAAAAAAATCAGAAAAATAATAGAAAAATTACAAAAATTCAAAAAAATTCATTAAATTCATAAAATCATAAAATTTTTAGAAATTTCGAGAAAATTCATGAAAATCCAGAAAATTCAGAAAAATAAGGAAAATTCCAGAAAATTCACAAAAAATTTAGAAAATTCATAAAAATTAGAAAAAAATCCAGAAAATTTAGAAAAATTTGAAAAATTCAGAAATCCATAAAAAAATCAAAAAAATTTCAGAAAACTTTTTTAAAAAATAGTAAAAAAATTTGTATTTCTAGGAAGTGAGAAAGTCAAATAAAACTTTTCCCAAAAAAATAAAAAATTTCAAAAACTTACAGAATGACTCAGAACACTTATGGCCACACATTTTGAGTGAAATTAGAATTTTTTGAGGTGTGCAAGTGGTTCTTTTGAAAACTCCTTAGTTTAGGGATAAAAGGGGCTTAACTCTTAAAAACCCTAAACCCCAAAAACTAACACAATCCTTAAAAATGAACAAGCCTCTAAGGCTTCACTAGGTATTGATTATTTTGATTGATTTTCCTTTTTAGGGACGATATTAGGGCGATGTTTGTGATGTGAGTTGATTGCGCACTTCCTTATTAATTGATTGCTCATCGTTTAGAAAAGTTAGGATTAGCGGATAGGACTCGAGAAATTGCATGAGACATTAGACACTTCAAATCAAGTTAGGTACCGAAAGGGTGTTAGGAATTTCGATATCAAGATCGTTAACGTAATCCCTACCCATGAAATCTTTGGTTCACAGAAATTGGGATGGTTCTCCCTTATTTCGATTAGGTTTCTAGTCAACCATTTAGACTAGTGGCGACTCCAAAACCGAATATAGGCTAAATAAAAAACAAAATAACAAATACCCGTTGTCTCGTGAGGTATGGTCAGGGAGAGACCATCGTTCATTAGTGATAAGACATCCTACCATTCCCGATGAATGAAAGTACCTCCTAGTGCGCTTTAGGACCGAATCGAGCGCGGCGCAACAGTAGCATTTTACTTGATTTTAATGTTGCTTCTCGTTTATTTGATAAGATTGTGAGATCAACGGTTCGAGTAATCTTTGTTGTTTGATCGTAGGCATTTTCAGGTGAGTGGTACTATTTTTTCCATGAATTTACAAACTCATATTTTGAAAATGGTAGAGTTTTAATATAGTATAAGTTACTAAGAGCATGTTTCTTGCATAAATTGGATCGAACTTTTACTACCTTTTTGAGTTGATTGAAAATGGATTGAGAATATTTTATGAAGTTGTCTAAAATGACCAATTGTGAATGCTTTTGTTAAATGTTTTGTGAAAGGAATTGTAAAAGCTGTACGTATTGATTACGAAATGTTTTATGAAATGCATTCTAACTGATAAATGGAATTGTGAAAGGTTATATGATTCGATTTGTAAAACTAGTTTATGAAATAACTTTCTGGTGTTGATTGTGCATTGTTGGAGAAATATTTTGATTGATATGGCTCACATCGCTATAATGAGAACCTATCGAGAGGGGAGTATGCATACTGTCAGGACATCCTTCTTGGCCGAACCGCCAGCTGATATAGGTGGTAGACCTAGCCAAGGAGGGTAAATTTGGTCGCCTTTGTCACGACGTTAAACGTGACTATAGTTTGATGATGAGAATTAGATTAGTCGATGGAATGGACCATCGACATGTGATTAATGAGATTAATCACTGGAATAGACCATTGATGGTTGCTTGTTATTGTTGAGTATGTTTTGATGACTGATCTTGTACGTATAGAGTTTTGTTGGAAAGTTATCACATATTTTCGATATTTTATGTATATTGTATATTGAATTTGAGATGAGGAGTTATTATATCATTTTATAACGATGCATAGTGAATATTCGATCCGCTTAAAAGAAATGTATTACTCACTAAACTGTGGTTGCTCACTCCATTCCTTCCACTCTTTTTCAGGTTCTTCAGCTAGCGATGAGTAGTACGAGAGCGATATCCACGGGTCTTTTGGGAGTTGGCTTTTGGGTGATTTGAGACTGCGTCTTTCGGGTAGAAGGTGGCGTGTAATCCCCTTTTCTGCTTGGAATCAGTGACACAAGATGTACAAATGTTTGACCGTGGGGTAGCCCATAGTTTGAATTGGCTCGAGCTCAAAGTCGATGTTGCTCGACTAATTTATCAACTTTAAGAGTAAGAAAACAAAGGGACAAAAGGGAGAGATGGGAAAATATTCGAGATTGACTAATTCACCCACTAGAAGCCATCGTTCTTGAAGTGACATGGCCGTAATAGTGGAAAATGGAGATGGACGTGACGTGACGTGACAGAGGGGGATAAAAATAGCAAAAGAAAATGAATTAATATCTTGAAAAACTTCAAATTAATATAATTATGATAAATTTATCTTAAATTATTTTTTTGATCACGAAAAACTTCAAATCGGTATATATGTGATATATTTACTCAAAATTAATTTTTTAACTACAAAAAATCCCAAACTGGTATATTCGTGATAAATTTACCCTCCGTTAGTTTTCGTTAAATTGGATTAATACCACAAAAAATTACAAATTAATATACATGTGGCAAACGGATAATAAAACATAAAACTGGTAAACTACCATGTGTCATTTAACAAAACCATTTGACAGTAGCATTTAACGAAAACAAAGTGCGGATAAATTTGTCACAAGTGTACCAGTTTAGATTTTTTGTTGTCAAAAAATTAGTTTGGGGTAAATTTATCACATGTGTATCGATTTGGAGTTTTTCGTGGTATTAACACAAAGAGAATCCTCCACTTGCTGCGTGTCCTTGTCGTCTCCCTGTCCTCTCCCCACTCCAACTCAGATAATTTTTTTATTTTATTTTTTGATTCGCGAAATATCATTTTACTTAGAAAGAAGACATTTCACCATTTTTACTAATTTTAAAAAAAACAATAGGGATATGTCGACTAAATCTTGTGAAAATTTAGCACAAATACGATATGTAAACGAGAGAGACGATGAGATTTAAATTAAATATTTGTGAGGTGACCATGGTGTTTCAACAATTTGTTCCCAAGTAGTTGGTACTACTCAGGCACTCTATTGATGTCCTGATCAAAATTGAAAGAAGGGCGTTGGACCTCATCTGCGCGACAGCTAGAAAAATTCTAGAATCAAGAAGTACGAAAAAGGGTAAAGATTCATTAACACAACACAAAGCATTTTGTCATTGTCCGAATTTGATTTAATTGGGACTTTTCAATTTTCTTTTCAAGCTCTCAAATTTTTTTCGTTAGAAAATTCATTTTCTTAACTTTAAAAATGCATACTTTCTTTTACAATAGCTTTTTTTTTTCATTTTTCGCGAACCGAACCGAACCAAACCAAACGAGTGGAACGGGTTTAGAAAGAACTCAAATCGCGATTAACGTCACTAAACACACACTTAAAAAATCTAAATTTTCCCTTTTCCCCCCGCTAAACATATTTCCCTTAGATTGGCCAGAAATTATTTTCTCGGAAATTGCGTTCCTTTTTCACTATAAACAAAAGAAAATAAAATTCACCCTCGGCGGCGGCCGGAAGCTCGTCGTACAGTCCGAGGGCAGCGTCGCCCAATCGTGTTGTCCGTCGGCCACAATTTAGAGAGAGAAAGAGAGGAGAGAGAGAGAGATTCAACCTTCTTCTGGAAAATCTCAGACTGGAGAGAGACGGACCTCCATTTTTGTGCCGGAGCTCCTCCTCCTCCGACACCGTACGACCCGGTCCCCCCATCGCATCGCAGCCTTCGACCGTGCTTCCATTTGCCGTTTTCCTCCGGCCGATTGCTCCTCCCGCCGGCCGAAACGGTTCCCCCGGCGGAAGTAAAATCGCGGCCTTTTTCCCCGGGAAAATTCGACTCCTTTTGTCCGAGGAATCGTCCCATCTCGCCGGAAAGAGATCTGGGTCCTTGAGAAGCGGCCTCGGTTCCGGCGAATTTGGTCGCGCTCCCTGAACTCCCGCCCGAAACCCTAGAAATCCGCCCCCGCACTTCCGCCCACCCAGATGCCCATGGCCGTCCCGACGGTGGCTCTGTACGCCAGCCCGCCCAGCAGCGTCTGCTCGACGTCGCACCAGATCAACGCGCACGTCTCGTGCGACTTCGAATTCAGCTCCAGATCGTCGCCGTCCGCCGCCTCGTCGGCCGCTTCCTCGGCTCAGAAGCCGACCGTCGGGGGTCTCTCGTGCCTCTTCGCCTCGCCGACGCCGCCCCCCACGGTGGTGAAGCACTCGTCGTCGTCGTCGTCGTCGAGCTTCGCCGCTGGGGGCGGTGATGAATTGGGGAGGCAAGAGAGGGGCGAGGAATTTAGAGAGCTGAGTAGCTCTTTGAGCAGCTCCTTTCGCTACGCGCCGAGTAAATTTGTGGGTTCGTGGAAGCGGGATCATCAGAGCCCGGTCTCGGTTCTTCACGGACCTGTTTCGTGTAGTAGCAATAGCTGTAGTGGAAACGGCAGTGCAAAGAGCTTCCCAGCGAGAACTTCGCGTGATAGGAATGACGTTGATGTGCTAGGCTCGATTCGAAGGGGTTATAATGGGCTGTTCAGTGGGTTTGTCCGGAGGGCAGTGGCTTCTTGTGTGGAGCTAGAAATGCCGGCGGTTGAGGTGCGTGGTGATAGTGGTGGAGCTGCTGATGTGGAGGAATTGACGTTTAATTTGGAGGATTGCTTTGTGGAGAGTGATCTCGAGCCGTATGCAACGGAGTTGTTGGTGAATGCACAGTTGAGGCATAAGATCTTCTGCGACGAGTTTGTCATTAAGGCGTTCTATGAGGCTGAAAAGGCACATAGAGGGCAGGTATAGTTTTCAATTGTACAATGGCCTTTGTTCATTGGGACAATTCTTTTATGATTATTTGATAGGTTTTGATGTGTTTGTGATGTAGATGCGTGCCAGTGGCGATCCATATTTGCAGCATTGCGTTGAAACAGCTGTGTCACTGGCACTAATCGGTGCTAATTCTACCATGGTTGCCGCGGGGCTGTTGCATGACACCCTTGACGATACCTTCATGAGTTATGACTATGTACTGAGGAACTTTGGAGCTGGTGTGGCCGACTTAATTGTAGGGGTAAGAAAGAATTTCCAGCTTGATTTCCTTGTGTGAACTGTTTGGACAAACAAGAATATCGAAAGAAGTTAACTTAAACATTTGGCGTTTATATTCTGATTAGCTGTTTCTGCTGTTTATCTGTCCCTGGAAAATGGTGAAGAGGCATAATAACTTAAGCAAATAGCATAATTAATTTGCTATATGCCACTTGCAAGTATTTGTTTGTGGCTTATGTCCTTGTACAACTATCCCTAGGCCACTGAAAGAGTACAATGTCTATTCAGATTGTTGACTGAACTAGGTAATTAGTTACTTCCTGATTGAGTAAGATTCATTTCAGTATGTCCTCGAAATGACCTCATTAAGCTTACTGATAGTATGTTGTGTTATCTGCAGGGAGTGCTGGCCCTGCTGGGGTCTTTATGAATATTAATGTAAACAGATAGTTTTCTAGATAATGCCTTCCAAAAGCACTTTCCATGAAAGTGAGCCAGTGTACCAAGTTGTAGGATTGAATTATCTTGTCACACAGAATGCTATTGTGCGTACAAATGGCGGTAGCTGTTGCAATTGCTTGTCCTATTTAGGAATCTTTGTCCAGGAATACTGTGTTTGCAATGTGACAATTGTACTCTGTAGATATCTTGGGAAGTTAAAAGTCTCTTCACTCTCTAATTCAGGATGACTTATTCCTAAATGAACTTTTCTGATGGTTTTGCCACTGGTAATGCTGCAAACAGGGATATTTCTTTCATCCCTATGTTTTACTTTTTCAGTGCAAAAAAAAAAATTGCAAATTGGTTTATGTAATAGTAAAGAGACATTTGAGCATGTAATTGCAGATATGCTCTGGGTTTTGATTCTTGACAGCTCATTGTTCTTTAGTCAACACTCAAAAGCTTACACTTTTAACTTAAAAGATAACAGGTCAACCAGGGTGCTTGTATTCTCTCTCTAGATTGTTTATTTTCTTTTTACTTTTCCTTTCCATGTTGCTGCTTGTCTGAAGTAATGCACTCTTGCTGCTTTGAGCTCTCTTTGTTTGCATGGCGACTTATGCATGCATGTTTTATGAGAAACTTTAATGTAAGTCGGTTATGTATGGTTATTCTAGGTATCAAAGCTAAGCCAACTTAGCCAACTTGCACGTGAAAACAATACAGCGAGCAAGACTGTTGAGGCAGATCGACTTCATACCATGTTCTTAGCCATGGCAGATGCCAGGGCTGTCCTCATAAAATTGGCGGATAGACTTCATAATATGGCAACTCTGGATGCATTGCCTTTGGTCAAGCAACAACGGTTTGCTAAGGAGACGATGGAGATATTTGTACCCTTGGCCAATCGTTTGGGGGTCTATACTTGGAAGGAGCAGCTAGAGAATTTGTGCTTTAAGCATCTCAACCCGGACATGCACAAACAATTATCGTCGCAGCTTCTTGAGTCCTTTGACGAAGCGATGATTGCATCTGCTATTGAGAAATTAGAGCTAGCTCTCAAGGATAAGGCCATTTCTCACCACTCATTATCAGGAAGGCACAAAAGCTTATATAGCATATATAGCAAAATGTTAAAGTATGCCCCTCCCTCCCTCCCTCCCTCCCTCACATATCCTGTATATGTTGTTTGAGGGAATGCTTTCCTTTGTTGATAGCTTTTCCTATGTGATTTTCATGGACTGCTTGCTAACTCAGAAACCTAGGGAGCAAAATAACACAATTTATGTACTGCCTATTACGAAGTTTTCGGTATGTGCGCTGCTAAGGGTGTCTGGCCACGGAAAAAAAAGTTGCCAAGGGTGGATGAAACTTTCATCTTTCTTTTTACTAATTATAAGGTAATTTATTAATAGATACACTGTTGTAGTGCATCTGAAGTAAATGAAAACAGGGCACAAGAAACTGAATACACAGCCTAAGAAACATACTTATAGCATTGGAGAGTAGAGCATGAAGCCCAAAGATGACTAAAAGCCACAAAGATTGAAGCAGCTGAAGACCTGGATCCTTGGGACATTTTTTGGTGCAAGCAATAAGTGCTGCACATATTTTAAAAAATTATATACACTCTGAACAGCAATGGCGACAGACACCTAGAATAGATTTCCAGTCTCTCTTGTAGCAAGTAACTTGTGTACTAATTGGTGTATTAATGGAGATTGCCATTTTCATGCAGGAAGAAGCTTACAATGGATGAAATCCATGATATACATGGTTTACGGTTAATTGTTGAAAATGAAGAGGACTGTTACGAAGCACTGAGAATTGTCCAAAGTTTGTGGCCTGAAGTTTCTGGAAGATCAAAAGACTACATTGCCCATCCAAAGCTTAATGGGTATGTTTGCTAAAATACATTGATTGAGTGCTTAAGAGCCAAGGCCTTTGCTTTCTTAACGTTTCGTTATTATTATTTAGGTATCAATCACTTCATACTGTAGTGATGGGTGATGGGATGATTCCCCTTGAAATTCAAATCCGAACAAAAGCAATGCATTTGCAGGCTGAATTTGGATTTGCTGCTCATTGGAGATATAAAGAAGGTGAGAGTAAGCACTCTGCTTTCGTGCTTCAGATGGTTGAGTGGGCTCGATGGGTTGTTAGCTGGCAGTGTGAGGCAATGAGAAATGATCAGTCATCAATTGGCCATGTTGATTCTGTCAAGCCAAGCTGCACATTCCCAACTCACTCAGAAGATTGTCCATTCTCATACAAGCCTCTCGCTGATCAGGATAGGCCCATCTTTATCATTATGATTGAAAATGATAAGGTACTTTTTTAACTTCGATGTTTTTTTTTTCTACAGATTGTTTCTAATGTCGGTGTTTATGCTACCTGATCGTCATAGGACAGTTCAACAAATTTTGCTTTTGTGCATGAAATACTTGATGAATTGGGTAGCACATTTGAAGTTTGGTTTGGATAGTATGCTAATTTTTGATTACTCTGCCTTGCTCAATGATGGATGTGATGAAGTTCTTTGATGGTTGGATTCTGCAGATGTCGGTCCAAGAGTTTCCCCCGGACTCTACAGTCATGGATTTGTTGGAAAGGGCTGGGATGGGGAGCTCAAAATGGACACCTTACAGGTTCCCTCTCAAGGAAGAACTGAGGCCGAGGTTGAATCGCGAGCCTGTTGGTGAGCCTATGTGCAAGTTGAAGATGGGGGATGTCGTGGAATTGACTCCTGCATTACCCAATAAGTCATTGACGGAGTATAGGGAAGAGATCCAGCGAATGTATGATCACGGCCTTGCCGTATCGAGGCCGGGGCGGTCTACTAGCACTTCGGTTGGCTGGAGGAGTTGACCCGGTTGAGACAATTCCTTTGTGATTTTATTATTTGTCAAAATCAGGTGCGCTTGTAAATATGTATGTATATATAGGACAGGACTCTCGTTTTGTAAGGATAAGTTATTTGGACTCTCGTTCTGCCTGGAAAAGTTATTTTCTTTCTCTTTTTATTTTGCTCTTGAATGGACTTTGAACAATTTGATTCTCCAAAATCCAGCATATATGCAATCTGTATCTTCATTGGCAGCTACATCTTTTTCTGTTCAAAGATGCATTGTCCAGAGCGTCATTTGTTATTATTTCCCCCTTTTGCTAATATTTGGTAATTGTTGTGATCTGTAAATGAATAACTTCGTCTAATGACTAGGGAGATCTGGTGTCCAAAGATGTTATCATCACCTGTGGCTTCTCAAGAAACAACTGAGGCCATGTTTCAGAATTATTGACCAGAAGATGGAAAGCCTGAATACCAAGCAGTTCAACTCCTAAATTCTAGCCGCACATTGAACAGAAGAAATAGAGTCTCATGCTAATGTGTCATCCAGTTCATATTTGGTACTGTAAAATCATTTATTAGTCGCATGATACATACAGCCACTAGCTCCACTACAGAGACAACAGTCATAGAGAAGCATAATATTGCATATTCATTTTCTATCTCCACAAGAACTGTTGAACAGAATGTTGCCAAGAGAGCACAAGCATCAGCATCACCAGAACCCCAGTGAGTCCCCAGGATGAGCTCCCAATTCGCAGCACCCATGAAGGATCAGGAGATGGAACCACCGAACCTCTCTGGACGTATCTTGAAGAAGAAGATGATGATGAAGTGGTCTTGATGGCAATTATGAGCCCGGCAAGAACCACAGGAAGCACAAACCCAGAACTCCATTTGGCCTCATGGGAGTACTTAGCCTCACCCTTCCTGTCAATGTACAGTGGAGAGAGTACTATTGCTGATACAAGAGCCAGCACCATGGCCACTCCTCTCTGAGACGAGCTTTGAGCTGCGTAAAGATGAGCGGCCATTGATGGGGCTTTGAAGAGGAAGCCTAGAGCCAAATGGAAGAAACAAGGGTTGAAGAGAAGGAACTGAGATTGATGGGAGATTTATAAGAGGAAAGAGATGAATACGGTGAAGGAAAGGAATCACGGTGGAAAAGGGCTCGACAGTATCTATTGGGTGACAGAGGTGATAAAATATACAGCCGTCCATAAAGTTAAACAAGGAAAAAGTGTGAAAAAGTGAAGGGCTTTGAAAGTTATAGGAGGGAATGAGTGAGAAGATGAGATTGGAACAAAGTGGAAGCAAGGTATCAGTGGGGGTGTGTTCATATGTGACAAGAAGGGATGCTATCGCTATTGCTAGCTGTACACAAATCTTGTTGGAGGTTAATGTCTTTCTTTACTTAGTCAGCTATCTTTATCTTTCTTTCTGAATCTTTAAATCTTGTTTCATATGCATTCTTTTCCCCCTTCATTCCATTTCCAACATTTAGCAGAATCTCTTTGATTGATGCTGAATTTGCAACCCAAGAAATGGGTGGAATTCGACATCCAACCTCGTTGGATCTACTAAATTGCAGTTAGATGTTCTGTAAAGATCTCTTTCCAACTCTCAAACCACACGCCAGGAATAGATCACATCACCGCACTGTTTCCTCACGATGAAAGACACGATGCGAAGCTAAAGCCTTGAACAATATCTGAGCATGCTTGCTTGTGCATAATGACAAGACTTGGCAAAGAAAGTCGACGTTAAAGACAGGCAACCGGCAGCACTGGATGGGTTTATCGAAATAAACAAACCCTTTTCGTGACTAAGATGCGCAATTAGTGTTAATCGTACGTCAACCTTGATAGGACATGTTGCTTCCATAGGCGATCGCCACAATGCAACGTAGTTTTCCGTTAATAGAAAAAGATGGAGTTCGTGAAATCCAATCCTTGCAAGAAAACAACTTCTGGACTCTTCAAATCACTTTGCCTATGTATCTGCTTGCCCATTCCCTACCATGCGCATGAAGGAACGCACTAAATTATGATGAGATTCAAGCCACTACGACACGCTTCGACATAATGCGCTAGTTATATAACGGCGCGTTCTAACTCTATGTAATCGTTGTGTTTCTTTGATTTTCCTCACGGTTTGTACACCATGACTGGATGTTGAAGTCATGTGAGGGAAGAAAACAAAGGATTACGACATGCTATGACAAAAGAGCTACCATCAAATCCAAGCCTATATGAGGCACTACAAGTATTGCGTTAAAACTAAAAAGGCATTTTCGTAGCGCATTGCAACCCGTTATACTCTTTCGATTTTTTTCTTATGATCTTTTCACTACAACGGAATATTGATGCCACGCTATGGAAAGGGCTATAACACTTTCAATGGAATGTACTAAACTCCGACGAAATTCAAGCCCATATGATGCCCTACGACGTATTGCAGAAGCACTACGACTTCACATTCCGCACGTCGTTACTCTTTGTAATCCATCTATTCCTTTGATTTTTCTTTTTGAGTCTATCTACTCCTACCGTTATTGAAGAAATTCGCTAGCAATTTGAAAGAAAATATTTGACTTAAAATTTTTTGAGCATAAGTTCCGTTATTGAAAACTGATCAAGTAATTGATTCGAAATCATCATAGATATGTTGTGCTCAATTATCGCATTTATTACTTATATACATAATGTAGAAATTTATCTGATATGAAGACCCTCATTTTATAATTATGCAGCATTACAGGTCAATTTTTGAAAAAGCAGAGAGCAAAAAAGAGTAGAAAAATTGAACTTGAAAACAAGGGGCAACCCCCTTTTCTAAAACAAAAGGGGATATGCGCACTGGAAGTCCTAAAACTTATCACGAAAGTACAATCAATTTCTCAATTATCGCATTTATTACTTATATATATATAATGTAGAAATTTATCTGATATGAAGACCCTCATTTTATAATTATGCAGCATTAAAGATCACTTTTTGAAAAAACAGAGAGCAAAAAAGAGCAGAATAATTGAACTTGAAAACAAGGGGCAACCCCCTTTTCTAAAATAAAAAGGGGATATGTGCACTGGAAGTCCTAAAACTTATCATGAAAGTACAATCAAATTTTAAAACTTATCAAATTGGTTTAATTGAATCCTTTCGTTAACTTCGTTCAATTTAACTAATAGAAAATGTTGACATGACTTTTTTTATACTATTTTCTTTATTCTACGTGGCAACAACGTGGTTAAAATGACGTCGTTTTGGTTAAAATCTGATTTTTAATATAAATTTTAAATAAATTCAATTTAAAAATAAGCTAAATTTAACAAAAAAAAAAGGGAAGGGAGAAACTAGGTGGGAGGGGTGTTGAATTTACATCTTCGACTAGTTTGTGTGGAAATCATTTGCAGATAATCGAAGGGAAGAAGGAAGAAACTCTAATCGAAGACAAAGGTTTTGAGTCTCAAGCTATTGCAAAAACTCCAACTGGAAGAGAGGGTTTACATGAAGAGAGAGCTGCTCAATCAATCAGAAAGAAAGGAAAAGAAGTCTTAGAAGAAAACGATGTCGTCTCGTCTGGTACACAAATATATTCTCTCGAAGTTTCCAGCAGTACGTGCCAGCATCAGAAGAATTGTATTCTCAATAACCGTTTAGCAACTCTGAGCTTTGAAGAATTAGAGTGACGAGAAGAAGAATATGTGAAGGAATTTCTATATTTTTATTCCTTTATTTTTTTTGTGTGTTGAGCTGTAATTCAAGTATTGGCTGCTCTGGATCTAGATTTTTCGGTCATATAAATTGTAAAAATGAATGCCGAAGAAGATGAGCTCTTAGATGAAAAGTTTCATGAGAATGAAGGAAATGGCTATGGGAGCAAGATTTCTTTCTATTATGCTTTAATTATTTCCTTCTTTTATTCAGTTTTCTTCATGGTATCAGAGCTAGAGATTCTGAGTTCAAATCTTTCTAGGCCCAATTTAGTTCCCCATTTAAATATGTCAACACTTAGTACTAGACAAAAAGACCTGATTAAGCGTGAGGGGAGTGTTAGAATAATTAAATACTAAATTATGCCTTCATCTAACAGTTTAAGTTTTTAGAACAGTTGACAGTGGTCCTATAAAATTTCACATGGGGGTCGCTGGCCCTCGCCCAGACTTGGCCGAGAGTCGGCTGCTAGTGGCGACCCTTGACCCTCGGCCATCCCCCACCCACACTGGCCTTTGGCGGCTATGAGAGCTGCTCCCTTACCATTTGGTTAGTCCTTTTTTTTATTTTTTATTTTAGCTTATTTTCAAATTCTATTTAAATAAATTTTGAATTAAAAATCAGATTAGTCCAAAACGACGTCGTTTTAGCCGCGTTATCGCCATGTAGGATAGAAAAAAATAAAAATAACCACACGTCAGCATATTCCGGTAGTCAAATTAGACGGAGTTAACGGAATGACTCGATCGAATCGTAATTTAATTGCACTTTCGCGATAAGTTTCAGGATTCATTGCACTTTTGCGATAAGTTTTAAGATCTCCGGGACTCATGTCCAAAAAACAAGAACAAAACACTAAGGGCAGGGTCCCTCCTTGCCCTTTCTTCTTGGATCGACAGCGACATGCGTGTCTGTCGGGCGTTCAGAAATTTAAGAATAACAAAGGAAGAGCAATGACATGGGTGTCCCTCTCTCACGAACTTGTTCTCCTGTTCCTTCGTCTGCAAGTGATCATGCACGCTTCAAATGCCAAAACTGAGAGCAATATCATATTTGAGATTCCTTAAGATTTTCCAATATATAATAATCCTAACATGATTGAACAATGGAACACACCATCTTCAAGCACCTTCACACCACCACTTCAATGGCCTCCTCCACACTCCTCCACCTCCTCTCCTCCTACCTCTCCACCACCATTGGCATCCTCAGGAGCATGCTCTCGCACCTCCTGACCCTCCACAAGACGCCATTCCTGGTCGTGCTCGTCGACGTATCCCTGTCGCTCTACTTCTGGTCGTGTGGCCTCTCGCCCTGCTCTGTGGACTTGGACGACGAGCAGACCACCATCCACTTCTGGGGCTCTGCTCACAGGAGGTCCAGGAAGCCATGTCTGGTCTTCATCCATGGCTACGGAGGCAACTCGAGGTGGCAGTTCTGGGCCCAAGTGGGCCCTTTGTCTCAAAGCTTCAACATTTTCATACCGGACTTGCTCTTCTTTGGGAAATCACACACGCTGAGTCCTCAGAGGAGTGACGTGTTTCAGGCGACATGCATTGTGGAGGGTCTCAGGAAACTGGGGGTTGATAAGTACTCAATTTATGCGATCAGCTATGGTGGGTTTGTGGGGTACAGGATGGCTGAGGTTGGTGGTGATAAAGTTGAGAAATTGGTGATTGTCAGCACTGGGATTGGGTGTACAGATGAGCAGAAGTTCGAGCAGCTGAGGAAGATTGGCAGAAATCCCTTGGAGCTTCTTTTGCCTGAGAAGCCTCAGGATTTGAGGGTTCTGATGAATTTGTCAATCTATAAGTTCAATCCTTTCATTTGGGCCCCCAATTTCTTCCTCCAGCAGTTCATTGATGTGAGCTAACATTCTCTCTTTATATTGCCCTTCAAAGTTGTGCCCTGTTTATTGCTTGATGCAGTTGCCAGTCTCAGGCTCTGAGGTGTCCACTCAAGTTGTCTTTGCTTGGCTAGATAAATCAGTCTATAGAAGAATTTGACTGGTAATTTTATTCTGTCTTGCAGTTATATGCTGGTTTTGAAAGATCTGGAGTCATGAAAAATAAAGTGAAAAGGAAAGGGTATGAATCTTTAGGAGTTTTTCCCTCAACTAAAGAGAGGGCATTTTTGAGAAATTTGGCTTTTAAATGGTTACAAAGGAGAGAATCGTATTGTAGTGACTTTTGGCATTTAGAATCCAAATGTCATCATTAGTTATAGTATGATGGAATTAGAATTACCTTGGTTTGGATCCTGGCTTTGACAGGTTGAAACTGATGGACTACCTCAAAACAGAATTTTCTTCATCTGATTACCCTACTTGAATTGGAATCTCTCCATAAAATTCCACAACTTTTGCTACCAAGAAGTGTTGTTTGAGTTAGGGGTGTCGGTCCTCGGTGGATTGTCGAGAATCGACAATGTGACTATTGGCTCCAAAAGTTTGGAACCGAGAATCGACCAGTCGAATCTAGACCTATCGTGTCCCGACCCCTTTTTTGTTTTGCGTAAAAAATCAAATTCTTTTTAATAAGCTATAAACACATTTCACTGTTACAATATGTTGTTGTCTCTTATGTTGAAGACCTAGTTTGACTTTTAGAGAGTTGCAAAAATTTTTTTTTTTTTTTAGATGAGGCTTTAAAACTGATTAAACCTGGGAACTGAACTGGTTGAACTGATAAGAACCAGTTCTCAGAAAAAACCAACAGTTTGGCCCTTAGAACTGGGAAGGAACCGATTTTCCCTTAGATTTGACCTTGCAACGGTTGGTCAGGCCGGTTTGGTCCGCTTCTCGGGTTGAACCTGACTCGGTGCACACCCCTGGAGTTAGTTTTGGTGATTCATCGTCTATGTTTGCTTCTATGATTAGTTCATAGGTCACCGCTAAAGGTGATCAACAGCAGATGGCTCGCTTGGCCCCTAAGGCCTGAGAGGTAAATTGGCAAGCTTGGGCAAAGGTCTTACATGAGGAAACCTGGCCCGCTTATCTTTGGCTCATCCCGGCCAAAAATTCCTGCTCTATAATTTTTATGATATGGGCGGGTTTGAGCAACACATTGGCATGACCTTTGTGTCTGTTCCGAACCCGCCCGATGATCAACTTTAGTCACCACCTGGATCTTCCTTCATTTTCCTGTAGTCACAGGCCTACTTTTTCAGGTCATGTGCAACAATTACAGGAAAGAAAAATCGGAGCTAGCAGAATACTTGATCTTCAGAAAAGCAGACAGCAACCTTCCTGTTTTGACTCAGGTAGTTCATTCACATGGGCGGTTGTACTACTTATGAACCAATGTATTCAAAGACATCATATGTGAGATGTGTGCGCAATCATATCATTGCAAAATGACTATACCGCTTAGCAATTCATTTTTTGGGTGGTATTTGCAGGAAACGTTGATTATATGGGGAAATCAGGATAAGGTTTTCCCATTGAGCTTTGCGCATCACTTGCAAAAGTAAGGTTTTCTTAATGTGTATTCTTTAAATCAGTGTCTTGGTTTGCTTAAATGTTACCAATATGAAAATTTAAATCTACAATTCTCAGGCATCTGGGACCCAAGTCGAAGCTAGAGATCATCAAGGACACAGGTCACGCTGCAAACGTCGAATCCCCTGGAGCTGTGAACAATTCTATAAGAGCCTTTATCCTCGGTAAATGAACACGAAAAAAGATGTTAGCATTTTGATTGCGACTTTCAGTATTTAAGTTAGGAATATGTTGTGCATTGCAACAACTGAAGAAGTAGAATTTGCTTCTCTAAAAGATCTGAACTTTAGCTGATGCTCTCTGATTCAAGCAATCCTTCAAGTATCTATATAGGTAAACCATTCCTATTGATGCATCAAAGTTTACTTCAGGAAAGTCGATTAGAAACAGCATCACTGAAAGAGGTTAAATGCTATGAAAATTTAAGATTACTTCATTGTCCAACCATGGGTTTTGGAATTGGGTAATTCTTATAGGACGAACTATAATACAAACGTAGCTAGTATATCTTTTAACTTGGTTTTTCATCTACTACCTTCCCAAGTACTTCTGGTTCTCACCCCTACGCATTACTTTTATGACGACTAGCCGAAATTATTACACATCCATTTATTTTAGATCCTTTCTCTGAGTGATTGCAACTTCACGACGACCTCCTTCATGTCGAGTCGTTCTCCAGGTTGTACGGCGGAGCATAAGATGCCAATTTTCAGAATAGAGGTCAAGCTCTCTTGAGCTTTGCTTTGCTTTCTCGAAGTGGTTGCCCTGTCGATGTCTTGATGGTGGAAGACTTCTTCGAGTAGTTTCGAGTCAACTATTTCGGCCACTCCATCCGGAATAGCCTTGTTCACATAGCTATGGAGGCTGAGATCTTCCATGAACATCTCATCAGTGGGCTTCTTCCCGGTGAACATCTCCATCACTAGAATCCCAAAGCTGTACACATCCCCCCAAGTTGAAATCTCACCAGCCATTCCATATTCTTCACCAAAACACATTACAAGTTTGCCATAAGTTCAACATACATAATCCCAAAACATCTGTATATGAGCATTCTCGAAAAGAAAAGAGGTTCACTTCTGCAGTCCAATTTTGAAATGTCTTTTGTTCAATTTTAAAGGGTCCTGAAAAATGAAGGATCTAGGAGATATCTCTTTCTAAGATTATATGGCGAGAAAAAAGTTACCTGGAGCTACATATCCAATAGTACCCTTAAAGGCACCAGTACTAGTACTCATGCTCGAGTGAATCTGAGGGTTCTTATCATTGAGGAGCCTCGCTAACCCGAAATCGCCGACATGAGCGGTCATATTTCTGTCGAGGAGGACGTTGCTTGGCTTAAGATCACAGTGAACAACTGTAGGGTCCACACGGTGATGGAGATAGTCCAGAGCCTGAGCTATGTCAATGGCTATGCTAACCCTCTGCACAAAACTGAGTTGCCTCCGGCCAGAATTCTGGTCATTTGCATTATCTACATGCAACCACTTCTCCAGACTCCCATTCGGCATGTAGTCGTAGACCAACGCCTTGAACTCGTTCCCAGCAAAATCAATGCTCGAGCAAGAAGTGACTATCTTCAAGAGATTCCGATGCCGGATGGATCTTAACGCTTCGCATTCTGCTATAAAGCTCTTCGAAGCTCCGCGTTGCTGGAGGTCGAGCACTTTCACTGCAACCACCAATTCTCCACTGCATCCCTTGTACACTGAACCGTAACTGCCAGTCCCTATCTTTTTAGCTGAAGAGAAACCATCTGTTGCTCTGGAAAGCTCAGCATATGTAATCTTCTGAAATTTCTTTTCATCCTCCGCAGGAGTCGTCTCGAACGATTTCTTCCTCCTAACACTTTTCCTCCTATAAAGTATGAGAATGGAACATATCAAGATCGCGCATGTTCCAACAGAAACTACGAGGATTAGCAATATCCTGATATATAAACGTCGCCACAACTTCCTGGAATGAACTCTAGGGGGTGTGCATTTCTGCAGATGCAATGCTGCGGGGCCCCCACAAAGATTTCCGTTTCCTGCAATTGAGATTTCACTTGCGTTGTTGAAGATTCCACCTTCCGGGACCTCACCTTCCAGATGATTAAACGACAAGTCCAAATGTGTTAGGAAGGTAAGAGAGCCGAGGAAACTGGGGATTTTGCCTGTGAAGTTGTTGCGTGAGAGATCGAGTTCTTGAATCCCCTTCAGACTTTTCAAGGAGGAAGGAATCGATCCTTCGAAAAGATTTCCCCTTAGATACAAGAATTCCAAGCTATCACAGGTTACGAGGGAACTAGGTAGCTCTCCTGATAGTCTGTTCTTTGATAAGTCTAGATGTGAGATCTGTCTCATTTTTCCTATTTCTATCGGTATTGGACCGGTTAGCTTATTTTCAGACAAATCTAACCATTCTGTTATGGAAGGAATACCAATGACCTCTTTAGGTATAGTACCTGAAAGGTTATTATTTGCCAGAGAGAGCCTCTGAAGACTCTGACAGTTTCCTACGGTTGAAGGTATGTTTCCCTGGAGAGAATTATCATTCAAGCCGAGTTCTACCAAGGAAGTAAGGTTACCAATGGATTGAGGAATTTCCCCCGAAAATTTGTTGCCGAAAATTGACAAAACCTGTAGGTTCTTCATAAGCCCTATGGAGGCGGGGATTTGTCCAGTGAAGAGATTCTCCTCCATGCTGATCAAGATCAGGTTTTCAAGCTTTTGAATGTCATTCGGGATGCGACCGGAAATTCTATTCGCTCCCATCAGAAGGTAATTGAGGTTGAAAGAGAGATTGGTTACGTGATTTGGCAAAACCCCACTGAGACTGTTGTTGTTGAAGGCAAGGACCTCAAGTTTCGTGCAGTTCACTAATGAGGAAAGAAATCCAAGGTCATTCCCTTTCCCAAATCCAAGCTCGTTCATCCCGAGATTCAACTCCACGAGGTTTTTCAACTTCCCCAAATCACGAGGTATTGAACCGGTCAACTGGCCAAATGCAATATGAAGCCACTCGAGCTTAGTTGCATTAGATATGGAGGTTGGAATTGAACCGTAAAACTGGTTTTTTCCCAAGAGAAGAATCCGAACATTCGGAAGAGTAAATCCTATATCGGGTGGAATTTCTCCGACAAGTTGGTTCTCCGCAACAGCAAAGTACTCCATAAGAGAGAGATTGAAAAGCTGAGCAGGAATCGAACCTGTTAACAGTCCGTTTGATGAGATTTGGAACATGCGGAGCTGCCTCAACTGGCCGAGCTCTCTAGGAATGTCGCCGCTGAGTCTGTTTTCAGATAGAGAAAAGTCCCTGAGAAACGTGAGGTTCGCTAGTGATTTCGGGATTGGACCTGTCAAGTTGTTGACAGCAAGTCCTAATCCCGTAAGCTTTTCGAGCTTGCCCAGCTCCGGTGGAATTCTTCCTTCGAGGCTGTTTGCAACTAAATCGAGAATCCTCAGGTCCGAGCACTGAGTGAGATTTATAGGAATCTCACCTTGCAAAAGATTCTGGGTGAGTACGATCACTCGAAGCCGATACAGACGTCCCACTTCTTTCGGGATCTTGCCGTGGAAGTAATTGTGCCGCAGATTGACACTCCTCACGAATGTCAAGTTTCCTATATGCGGTGAGATAGTACCTGTCAAGTTCCTGGACTGGAGGTCTAGCACCACGACTCTCTCGTGTCGAGCACCGCAAATAACCCCGTTCCATCGGCAAAAATGGACCGAATCGTTCCAATTGCTCAGCGTGGCAAAAGGGTCATGGGTTATCTGGTTCTTGAAGGCCAATAAGGCCAGTTTATCTGTGTCATTCCCAAGTTTAGCAGAGTGAGAGAGAGTGAAGTAAGTGCATGGAAGCAGGAGGCAGAGATTGAAGATGACAGGGTGTGGAGTGAAAGGAAGAAGCTTTCTCGATTCCATTTTGATACAATTCATGTTGAGATTTTTTAGTATATCGTATCCTGATTTTATAGAGTCCATGCTACCTAGAAACGAGGCCTGTCTTGGAGAGAAACTAGGGTGGTGGAAATTCCTGCAGAAAAGGCCAAAAAGTGTTCATGGGAGAGAGAGATCCTGGCAGCAAATGAAGTGGACATTAACGTGGAAAAAAGAGAGAATCTTGGTCAATATCAGGATGATTTGTCGTCTGCATTTCACCAGTGAAAAGAACTATGCAGAGCAAAGCGCGTGATCACGTGCTCTTTTTTCCAGCTGTCGCCTTCAATTTTTCTGTTGACTTTGGAACTGCATTAATTGACTGATGTGGTCTGAGCACAGAATGTCGAATGTGAACATGATCAATTGGGAGATTCCCTGGAAAGAGGAGTTATTTGTGATGGAAGCAATTGGTGGGTTCGGTACAGAGGGTCCTTGCCCATGGTATCATATATGTGCGGAATGGATTTGAGTTGACTAGGAAATTAGGGCGTAAGGCAAGGGCTGTTCATGTCTCTGCATGCATGTAATTTCCAAGCATGTGTAGCATCAAAATGAATACGTTCATGCTTTGTTGGGTCTGGCAACGAGTAAATACCTAGTTGACATAGACGTTCAAAGTCGTTCGATTGTTTATCCCAAAAAAAAAAAGATTGTTCGATCACATCTTAAGGGTATGTATCATATCCTTCAAATATTTATATAACATTCACGTATCATTTATGACATATAGGAACCAGTAGACAATCAAGTCGTTCATTCGACGGAATAATGTCATAATCGAGCACATCATGTGTCGTGGTGGACGACCACTTTAGTGGTGCTCGATGACTTAGCGTGGGACAGAACTGAGATGAGGGGCCATGGGACCGAGCTACGTAGTCCCTGTGGATTAACTTAGATGTTGGTATGGTGGTCTAGAGTCTTTTTCCTTGTTGCTTCTCATAACACTCCTCCATTGGCAATCAAATCAAGATGAAACTTTTCCCTTTAAGAAAATATCAAGGAACTTAAGGAAAAAATCACCAAAAACTTCAAATTATATTCAGTATAATACATTTATCCCAAACCTTTTTTTGTGACATAAAAACTCCAAACTAATGTTCGAGTAACTCATTTACCCTCCGTTACGATTCTGTTAAAAATCACTGTTAAATTTTGATGTAACTTTGATGTGGCGTTGATGTGGCGTCGCGTGAGCGCTCCGTTAGAAAATTAAAACTAAAAAAGAAAAAAAATCAAAGCACCGTCATCGCGGTTACTGTTCATCGTCGGACGACGATCCTCAATCAAAGGTTGTCCATGCTTCTCCGACCTGGGGTCGAGGACATGGGGCTCTGTCCACCTCGAATCTAAGGTCACCGCAGCAGTCCGGTGACTAAAGAGCAGTACTCGTCGTTCGAGAGCAAGATCTGGCTCTCCTTGTTTCTTTCATTTTTTTCCCTCGATCGTCCTCCTCTTTCTCACGAGTTCCTGCACTACTGGGGGCTACTCTCCATGTCCTTAATCCATTTCGGTAACAATCAGTAGCTGTTGAACCTTTTCCCTCTTCTTTCTCGAAGCCGCGGAATTTCGCCGTATTGCAGAAGAAGCGGCGATCAAAGCGGCGAAGTCTATGGATTGACTTTGCCAGTATTTGACAGACGAAAAGCAGAGGAAGAATATTTGACCAAGAAAAAGTAAAAGGAACAATGGAGGAGTTTACCCAGAAAGATGAACACTAGAGAAACAAGCGAGGATATTACAACACAAGAATAACAGAGATGAATTGTGCACGGCCGAATGTCCGGGCGGATCTGGGCAGCGATTAACGAGCGCTCGAAGATGATGAAAAGTAACCACAACGAAGGGTGCTCGAGTTTTATTTAGTTTTTATTTTTATTTTGAATTTTTTCTAACATGGCAACATGTCAGATTTTAACGTTGAATTTGCGTGTTAGTTTGGAGTTTTTTGTATTAAAAAAATGTTTGAAGTAAATATGTCATAACGAGTATAATTTGGGATTTTTGGTGGTTTTTTTTTCAATTAACTAATCAAATGATATCTTCATATAGTGATATGGTAGTAATTTAGAATTGAGAAACTTGTTTGTCCACTTTGAAATGTGGAAATATCAAAGTTGGAAAGTCATCAATAATCCACCAACCAAATATGTTGTTAGTTTTAGCGCTAATTAATTACTCACCATCTTGGTGAGGACAAACAACTTGCCATCAGATCGTATAATTATCATTGATTTCTAATTAAGTTCTAGATTTGAAAGCATGTCTAGGGGTCGAATCATGTTTCAATTGAGCCAACACAATGCAAGCTCGAGCCTGATTAATGATTAAAATTCGCACTTGAGCTAAGTTTGATTTGATTACAGTCAATTCCCGAAGGAACTTGAACTTGAGCTTAATGAGCTTGAATATTTTTCCCTCTTTATATATATTATATATTTTTGGGTATAATATGCATTTAGAAAATTCTGTGAATAAGTTTTATGATTGTTAACTATTTAAGGAAAAACAATGCAAGCTTGATTAGGAGATCATGCTCTTCAGCCTGTCGAGTTGATTATGGATGAGTTCGAGCTGAATTCGAGGAGGCATTAGATCAAGTTCGATAGCAACTTGAGACCAAGTCGCACCAGACGAGTCGATCTCCGATGATTATCTAAACAAGCTGGAGCTACTCACGCTTAACTCACTATTAGGTCGATTTGTTGTTTGCATTGCACCAGTGAATCAACAATGCAGAGAGTAGAGCACTTGAGCATGTGCTCTATCCTGGAAAGATAAAGAGTCGTTTGTGATTGAAGCAATTGGTGGGTTCGGTACAGAGGGTCCATGCCCATCGTATTATATGTATGGAGTGGATTTGAGTTAGACTAAGAAAGTAGGGCATAAGACAAGGGCTGTTCTTGTCCCCGCATGGATATAGTTTCCAAGCATGTGTACCATCACGATGAATCCGTTCGCGCTTTGTTGGGGCTGGCGATGAGTGAATACCTAGTCGTTCAAAGTCTTTCGATCACGTCTTTAGGGTATGTATAAGATTCGTAAGATATTGATATAACATTCTCGTGTCATTTATGACATACAAGAACCAGTAGACGAGCAAGCCGTTCATTCAAAAGTCAAATCCCCTGGAGCTGTGAACAATTTTATAAGAGCCTCTATACTCGATAAATGAACGTGATAGAAGAAGTTTGCATTTTGATTGCAACTTTTGGTATTTATGTTAGGAATATGTTGTGCATTGCAACAACTAAAGAAGTGGAATTTGCTTCTCTAATAGATCTGAACTTTTGTTGATGCTCTCAGATTCAAGTAATCCTTCTAGTAACCATACAGGTAAACGATTCCTCTTGATGCATCTAAGTTTACTTCAGAAAAGTCGATTAGAAACAGCATCACAGAGAAAGGACAAATGCTATGCGAATTTAAGATTACTTCATTGTCCAACCATGGGTTTTGGAGTTGGGTAAATCTTATGAGACGAAATATAATACAAACCTAGCTTGTACATCTTTTAACTTAGTTTTTCATCTTCTTCCTTCCTAAGTACTTCTGGTACTCACCCTACGCATTACTTTTATCACGACTGGCCGAAATTATTACACATCCAAATAGATAGAAATATCTCAAGCAAGAGCTGTTTTAGTGTCCCAAGCACTCTCCGACCGCGAGAGATGGAACATTCCCAAGCATGAGAGATCAATAAGCGTAAAATCCCGAGGGCGATTTTGACAGAGGGTTAATGAAGATCTTTATGAAACAAAAAAATTAGAGTGAAATTGAAATTTGACCTAAAGTTGGAATTTTTTTATGAGATAAAAAAAGTTTAGGGTAAAATTGGTACCGAACCTAAAGTTGAGGATTTTTTACGAAACAAAAAAAAAGTTTATGGTAGAATTGGGATTGGACCTAAAATTAAGGGTTTTTTATGAGATAAAAAAAAGTTTAAGGTAGAATTGGAATATGACTTAAAGTTGAAAGTTTTTTATGAAGTAGAATTGAGATAAAAGCTAAAGTTTGAGGTTTTTTTGGATGTTAGGCCTCAGTTAACCTAGAAACGTGACCTGTCCTGGAGAGAAACTGGGTTGGTGGAAATTCCTCCAGAAAAGGCCAAGAAGTGTTCGTGGGAGAGAGAGAGATCCTGGCAGAAAACGAAGTGGACATTGACGTGGAAAATAGAGTGTCTTGGTCAATATCAGGGTGATTTTTTGTCAGTATTTCACCGGTGAAAAGAACAATGCAGAGCAAAGCGCTTGAGCATGTGCTCTTTTTTCCAGCTGTCGCCTTCAATTTTTCTGTTGACTTTGGAGATGCATTAATTGACCGATGTGGTCTGAACCCAGAATGTCGAATGTGAACATGATCAATTGGGAGGTTTCCTGGACAGAGGAGTTATTTGTGATGGAAGCAATTGGTGGGTTAGGTACAGAGGGTCCATGCCCATTGTATCATATGTACGGAATGGAATTGAGTTGACTAGGAAATTAGAGGGTAAGACGAGGGCTGTTCATGCGTGCATCGATGTAATTTCCAAGCATGTGCAGCATCAAGATGAATCCATTCACGCTTTGTTGGGTCTAGTAACGAGTAAATACCTAGTCACCTAAAGTTATTCGATGCCAATCGGCATGCGACCCTACTGATAAAGGGATTGTAAAGGGATTGGGAGGTGGGAACGTTAGTATCACAGGTGTAGAGTTCGACTCCCGCGTTCTGTAAAAGATAGAGCAAAAGTTAGAAAGTAAGGAGAGTTAGAGATAAGACAAATAAAAAAAAGAAAGTCGTTCGATTGTTTACCATAAAAATAAAAGTTGTTCGATTACATCTTAAGGGTATACATCAGATCCTTAAGAAATTTATATAATATTCTCGTACCATTTATGACATATAAGAACCAGTAGATGAGCAAACCGTTCGTTCAACAGAATAATGTCATAATTGAGCACATCACGCGCCGTGGTGTATGACCACTTTAGTAGTGCTCTATGAACTTAGTGCAGCACAGAAGAGAGATGAGGGGCCATGGGACCTAGCTACGTAGTCCCTGTGGATTAAAATAGATGTTGGTATAATATTCTCGTACCATTTATGACATATAAGAATCAATAGACGAGCAAACCGTTCGTTCGACGGAATAATGTCATAATTGAGCACATCATGCGCTGTGGTGGATGACCACTTTAGTAGTGCTCTATGAACTTAGGTCGGCACAGAAGAGAGATGAGGGGCCATGGTACTTAGCTACGTTGTACCTGTGGATTAAAATAGATGTTGGTACGGTGGTTAGGAATCTTTTTCCTTGTTGCTTCTCATAAGACTCCTCCATTGGCAATCAAATCAAGATGAAACTTTTCCTTTTAAGAGGAAACGTCAAGGAAGAAAATTAACTTAGGAAAAAACTACAAAAAATCTCAAACTATGCCCACCGCAATACATTTATTCCAAACTTTTTTTGTGACACCAAAAACCCCAAACTAACATCCGAGTGCCACATTTACTCTCCGTTAAGATTCTATTAAAAATCACCATTAAAATCTGACGTGGCTTTGATGTGGCATTGATGTGGCGCCACGCTAGCACCCCCGTCAGAAAATTAAACTAAAAAAAGAAAAAAATCGAAGCACTGTCATTGCGGTTACTGTTCATCGTCGGACCACGATCCTCTATCAAAGGTTGTCCATGCTTCCCGGACCTGGGATCAAGGACATGGGGCTCGGCCACCTCGAATCTAAGGTCGCCACAGCTGTCCGGTGACTAAAGACCTCACTCGTTGTTCAAGAGCGAGATCTCGCTCTGGTCGCTCCCATCTAAAGGTTCCCTTTTTCTTTCATTTTTCCCTCGATCGTCCTCCTCTTTCTCACGAGTTCCTGCACTACTGGGGCTACTCTCCATGTCCTTAATCCATTTCGGTAACAATCAGCAGCTGTTGAACCTTCTCCCACTTCTTCTCGAAGCCGCGGAATTTCGCCGTATTGCAGAAGAAGCGGCGATCAAAGTGGCGAAGTTTATGGATTGACTTTGCCAGTATTTGACTGACGAAAAGTAGAGGAAGAATACTTGACCAAGAAAAAGTAAAAGGAACAATGGAGGACTTTACCCAGAAAGATGAGCACTAGAGAAACAAGCAAGGATATTACAACACAAGAATAACAGAGATGAATTGTGCACAGCCGAATGTCCGGGCGGATCTGGGCAGCGATGAACGAGCGCTCCAAGATGATGAACGGTAACCACAATGAAGGGTGCTCGAGTTTTATTTAGTTTTTACTTTTATTCTAAATTTTTCTGAAGTGGCGCCACCTCAGATTTTAACGTTGATTTTAACAGAAACCTAATGGAGGGTAAATGTGTCACTCAGGTGTTAGTTTGAGGTTTTTGGTGTAACAAAAAAAAAAGTTTAGGGTAAATGTGTCACAAGAAACATAATTTGGTATTTTTTTTTCTAATTAACTAATCAAATGATATCTTGATACAATGATAGTGGTAGTAATTTAGAATTGAGAAACTTGTTTGTCCACTTTGAAATGTGGAAATATCAAAGTTGGAAAGTTATCAATCCACCAACCAATCATGTTGTTAGTTTTAGCACTAATTAACTATTCACCGTCTTGGAGAGGACAAACAACTTGCCATCAGATCGTATGGTTTTCATCGATCTCTAATTAAGTTCTAGGTTCGAAACCATGTTGAGGGGTCGAATCAAGTTTCAATTGAGTCAACACAATGCAAGCTCGAGCTTGATCAACGATTAAAATTCTCTCTCGAGCTTAGTTCGATTCGATTACAGTTAATTCTTGAGGGAACTTGAACTTGAGCTTAATGAGCTCGAATATTTTTCCCTCTCTCTATATATATTCTGTATATTTATTCTTGGATATAATATGCATTTAGAAAATTCTGTGAATAACTTTTATGATTGTTAACTATTTAAGGAAAAACAATGCAAGCTTGATTAGGAGATCGGGCTCTTCAGCCTGTCGAGCTGATTATGGATGAGTTCGAGCTCAATTCGAGGAGGTATTAGATCAAGTTCGATAGCAACTGAAGACCAAGTCGCACCAAGTCGATCTCAGATGATTATCTAAACAAGCTGGAGCTACTCACGCTTAACTCACTATTAGTTTGATTTGTTGTTTGCATTTCACCAGTGAAACAACAATGCAGAGAGTAGAGCACTTGAGCATGTGCTCTATCCTGGAAAGATAAAGAGTTACTTTGTGATTGAAGCAATTGGGGGGTTAGGTACAGAGGGTCCATGCCCGTTGTATTATATGTGTGGAGTGGATTTGAGTTGACCAAGAAATTAGGGCATAAGACAAGGGCATGAATATAGTTTCCAAGCATGTGTGCCATCACGATAAATCTGTTAGCGCTTTGTCAGGGTTGGCGACGAATGAATACCTAGTCATTCAAAGTCGTTCGATCACATCTTATGGGTATGTATTAGATCCGTAAGATACTGATATAACATTCTCGTGCCATTTATGAAGTATGAAAACGAGTAGACGAGCAAGCCGTTCATTCAAACATCAAATCCCTTGGAGTTGTGAACAATTTTATAAGAGGCTTTATCCTCGGTAAATGGGCGCAATAGAAGAAATTAGCATTTTGATATCAACTTTAGGTATTTAAGTAAGGAATATGTTGTGCATTGCAACAACTAAAGAAGTAGAATTTGCTTCTCTAATAGATCTGAACTTTTGCTGATGCTCTCAGTTTCAAGTAATCCTTATAGTATCCATATAGGTGAACGATTCCTCTTGATGCATCTAAGTTTACTTCAGAAAAGTCGATTAGAAACAGCATCACGGAGAAAGGTGAAATGCTATGCAAATTTAAGATTACTTCATTGTCCAACCATGCGTTTTGGAGTTGGGTAATTCTTATAAGACGAAATATAATACAAAACTAGCTAGTACATCTTTTAACTTAGTTTTTCATCTACTACCTTCCTAAGTATTTCTGGTGCCCACCCTAAGCGTTACTTTTGTCATGACCGGCCAAAATTATTGCACATCCAAATATTTTAGATCATTTCTCTGAGTGATTGTAACTTCATGACGACCTCCTTCATGTCGAGTCGTTCTCCGGGCTGTTCGGCGGAGCATAAGATGCCGATTTTCAGTATCGAGGTCAAGCTCTCTTGAGCTTTGCTTTGCTTTCTCGAAGTGGTTGCCCTGTCGATGTCTTGATGGTGGGAGACTTCTTCGAGTAGTTTCACGCCGACTATTTCGGTCACTCCATCCGGAATAGCCTTGTTCACATAGCTATGGAGGCTGAGATCTTCCATGAACATCTCATCAGTGGGCTTCTTCCCGGTGAACATCTCCATCACTAGAATCCCAAAGCTGTACACATCCCCCCAAGTTGAAATCTCACCAGCCATTCCATATTCTTCACCAAAACACATTACAAGTTTGCCATAAGTTCAACATATATAATCCTAAAACATCTGTATATGAGCATTCTCGAAAAGAAAAGAGGTTCACTTCTGCAGTCCAATTTTGAAATGTCTTTTGTTCAGTTTTCGCAAAAGAAGGTCCCGAAAAATGAAGGATCTATGAGATATCTCTTTCCAAGATTATAGGGCAAAAAAGAAGTTACCTGGAGCTACATATCCAATAGTACCCTTAAAGGCACCAGTACTAGTACTCATGCTCGAGTGAATCTGAGGGTCCTTATCATAGAGGAGCCGCGCTAATCCGAAATCGCCGACATGAGCGGTCATGTCTTTGTCTAGGAGGACATTGCTCGGCTTAAGATCACAGTGAACAACTGGAGGGTCCGCATGGTGATGGAGATAGTCCAGAGCCTGAGCTATGTCAATGGCAATGCTAACCCTCTGCACAAAACTGAGTTGCCTCCGGCCAGAATTCTGGTCATCTGCATTATCTACATGCAACCACTTCTCCATACTCCCATTTGGCATGTAGTCGTAGACCAATGCCTTGAACTCGTTCCCAGCGAAATCAATGCTCGAGCAGGAAGTGACTATCTTCAAGAGATTCCGATGCCGGATCGATCTTAACGCTTCGCATTGGGCTATAAAGCTCTTTGAAGCTCCGCGTTGCTGGAGGTCGAACACTTTCACTGCAACTACCAATTCTCCGCTGCATCCTTTGTATACTGAACCGTAACTGCCGGTCCCTATCTGTTTAGCTGAAGAGAAGCCATCTGTTGCTCTGGAAAGCTCGGCATATGTAATTTTCTGAAATTTCTTTTCATCCTCCATAGGAGTCGTCTCGAACGATTTCTTCCTATAAAGTATGAGAATGGAACATACCAAGATCGCGCATGTTCAATCTGAAAGTATGAGGATTGTTAATATCCTGAAATACAAACGTTGCCACAACTTCCTGGAATGAACTTTTGGGGGTGTGCATTTCTGCAGATGCAATGCTACCGGGCCCCCACAAAGATTACTGTTTCCTGCAATTGATATTTCACTCGCGTTCTTGAAGATTCCACCTTCCGGGACCTCACCTTTCAGATGATTAAACGACAAATTCAAATTTTTCAGGAAGGTAAGAGCCGAGGAAACTGGCGATTTTGCCTGTGAAGTTGTTGCGCAAGAGATCGAGTTCTTGAATCCCTTTCAGACTTTTTAAGGATGAAGGAATCGATCCTTCGAAAAGATTTCCGCTTAGATACAAGAATTCCAAGCTATCACAGCTTACGAGGGAACTAGGTAGCTCTCCTGATAGTCTGTTCTCTGATAAGTCTAGAAGTGTGATCTGTCTCATTTTTCCTAATTCTATCGGTATTGGACCGGTTAGCTTATTTTCAGACAAATCTAACCAATCTGTTATGGAAGGAATACCAATGGCCTCTTTAGGTATAGTATCTGAAAGGTTATTATTTGCCAAAGAGAGCCTCTGAAGACTCTGACAGTTTCCTAGGGTTGAAGGTATGTTTCCCTGGAGAGAATTATCATTCAAGCCGAGTTCTACCAAGGAAGTAAGATTACCAATGGATTGAGGAATTTCCCCTGAAAGTTTGTTGCCGAAAATTGACAAACCCTACAGGTTCTTCATAAGCCCAATGGAGGCCGGGAGTGGTCCGGTAAGGAGATTCTCCTACATGCCAATCGAGATCAGGTTTTCGAGCTTTTGAATGTCATTCGGGATGCTACCAGAAATTCTATTTGCTTCCATCAGAAGGTAAATGAGGTTTGAAGAGAAATCAGTTATGTGATTTGGCAAAACCCCACTGAGAATGTTGTTGAAGAAGGCAAGGACCTCAAGTTTCGTGCAGTTCACTAATGGGGAAAGAAATCCAAGGTCATTCCCTTCCCCAAATCCAAGCTTGTTCCTCCTGAGATTCAACTCCACGAGGTTTTTCAACTTCCCCAAATCTTGAGGTATTGAATCGGTCAACTGGCCAAATGGAATAGAAAGCCTCTCGAGCTTACTTGCATTAGATATGGAGCTTGGAATTGAACCGTAAAATTGGTTTTTTCCCAAGAGAAGCATCCGAACATTCGGAAGAGTAAATCCTATATCGGGTGGAATTTCTCCAACAAGTTGGTTCTCAGAAACCAAAGAGTACTCCACAAGAGAGAGGTTGAAGATTTGAGCAGGAATCAAACCTGTCAAGAGTCCGTTTGATGAGATTTGGAACATGTGGAGCTGCCTCATCTGGCCAAGCTCTTTAGGAATGTCGCCACGGAGTCGGTTTTCAGATAGAGAAAAGTCCCTGAGAAATGTGAGATTCGCTAGTGATTTCGGGATTGGACCTGTCAATTTGTTGATAGCAAGTCCTAATCCCATAAGCTTTTCGAGCTTGCCCAGCTCTAGTGGAATTCTTCCTTCAAGGCTGTTTGCGACTAAATTGAGAATCCTCACCTCCGAGCACTGAGTGAGATTTATAGGAATCTCACCTTGCAAAAGATTCAGTGTGAGTCCAATTACTTGAAGCCAATAAAGACATCCCATTTCTTTCGGAATCTTGCCATGGAAGTAATTGTTCCGCAGATTGACATTCCTCACGAATGTCAAGTTTCCTATATGCGGTGAGATAGTACCTGTCAAGTTCCTGGACTGGAGGTCTAGCACCACAACTCTCTCGTGTCGACCACCACAAATAACTCCGTTCCATCGGCAAAAGTGGACCGAATTGTTCCAATTGCTCAGCGTGGCAAAAGGGTCATGGGTTATCTGGTCCTTGAAGGCCAATAAGGCCAGTTTATCTGTGTCATTCCCAAGTTTAGCAGAGTGAGAGAGAGTGAAGTAAGTGCAAGGAAGAAGGAGGCAGAGATTGAAGATGACAGGGTGTGGAGTGAATGGCAAAAGCTTTCTTGATTCCATTTTGACACAGTTCATTTTGAGATTTTTTGTATGTCATATTCTGATCTTATAGAGTCCAGGTAACCTAGAAACGAGACCTGTCCTGGAGAGAAACTAGGGGATGGAAATTCTTGCAAAAATGGCCAAAAAGTGTTCACGGGAGAGGGAGATCTTGGCAAAAAATGAAGTCGACATTGACGTGGAAAAAAGAGAGAGCCTTGGTCAATATTAGGGTGATTTGTTGTCTGCATTTCACCAGTGAAACAACAATGCAGAGAGCAAAGCGCTTGAGCATGTGCTCTTTTTTCAGCTGTCGCTTTCAATTTATCTGTCGATACGGGGCTGCATTGACTGATGGGGTCTGAACAGAGAATGTCGAATGTGAACATGATCAATTGGAAGGTTTCCTCGAAAGAGAAGAATTACTTGCGATTGAAGGCAAAAAAAAAAAGGTACAGACGTCCATGCCCATTGTATCATATGTCGAATGTCGATACGGGGCTGCGTTTGGTCGACCGGATAAAAGCCAGGATAGGATATGTTTTATCCTATTCTGTGTTTGGTGGTAGTCCAGGATAGGATAAGGTCGGATATAGACCAGATATAGACCGGATAAAAAAATCCGAGGGGGGGTGGGATAGACCTGGATAGGATTTCTAATGCCTATTTTTCCAGAAACCCTATGCTCCACTCGCCGTCATCTTCATCCCCACACCTTGTGCACTTTCACCAAAACAATTTTTCGGCTTTTTTTCCTTCACCGACTCCTCCGAACCCGTGAATAGCAAAAAAAAAAAATTATCATATCCGACTTAAATCCGTAGTCCACCAAACAGTGGATAGGATATGAAGAAATCCCAGGATTTCTTATCCTATCCTATCTAGTCCTATCCTGTTTAGAAATCCGGACAACCAAACGCAGGCTGTTCTTCTCCCTGCATGGATATAATTTCCAAGCATGTGTACCCTCACGATGAATCTGTTCACGCTTTGTCGGGGTTGGCGACAAGTGAATATCTAATCGTTCAAAATTGTTCGATCACATCCTTGGGGTATGTATTAGATGCGTCAGATGCTAATATAACATTCTCATGCCATTTATGACATTTAGGAATTGGAAGACGAGCAAGCCGTTCATTCGACGGAGTAATGTCATAATCGAGAACATCAAGCGCCGTGGTGGCGACACCACTTTAGTGGTGCTCTATAAACTTAGTGTGGCACAGAATAGAGATGAGGGTCCATGGGACCTAGCTACCTAGTGCCTGTGGCTGATATGTTGGGAAAATTGTCCAAAAAGTCTTAAACCTATTGCACTTTTGTCAATCAAGTCCTAAACCTTTCAACTTTGCCAATTGAATCTTAAACCTTTTCATATCTTGCCAATTGAGTCCATCCGGCCAATTTTGGCCGGAAATTGTTCACGTGGATGCCGAACGACCATGTGGCGCTAACGTGAATATTTTAAATAATATTTTAATAATTTATGATTTTTTTCTTCTTTTTTTTTCCTTTTCTCTATTTTTTTTTGCTATGTTTTGAAGTTAGGGCCAACGAGGGTGGCCGGCCGACCCTTGCTGGCTCTGGGTGAGGGCGTCGTGGCCCTCGCTAGCTTTGGGCGAGGGCTGCGACGCCCTCGTCGGCCAATGCGAGGGTGCGCGAGCCCTCGCCCAGATCCAGCAAGGGTGCACGAGCCGTCGCCCAGATCCGGCAAGGGTCGCGACGCCCTCGCTCGATCTGGCCCGATCTGGCCAGGCGAGGGCTTGGTGGCGGCCCTCGCCTGGCCAGATCAAGCGAGGGCGTCGCGACCCTCGCCGGATCTGGGCGAGGGCTCGTGCACCCTCGCTTTGGCCAGCGAGGGCCGCTACGTCCTCGCCCAAAGCCAGCGAGGGTCGACCGACCCTAATTTCAAAACACACAAAAAAATAAAGAAATGAAAAAAAAATAAAAAAAATCATAAATTATTAAAATATTATTTAAAAATGTCCACATCAATGCCATGTAGCCGTCCGGCGTCTACGTTAGCGATTTCCAGCTAAAATTGGCCGGATGGACTCAATTGGCAAGAAATGAAAAGGTTTATGACTCAATTGGCAAAGTTGAGAGGTTCATGACTAAATTGACAAAAGTGCAATAGGTTTAGGACTTTTTGGATAATTTTCCCTATGTTCTATAGATGTTAGTATGGTAGTCAGGAATCTTCTGGCTTGTTGCTTCTCATCAAACTCCTCCATTGGCAATCAAATCAAGACCAACTTTTCCTTTTTAGAGGAAATATCAAGGAGGAAAAATTAACTAATCAAATGATATCTTGATATAGTGCTATCGATAGTAATTTTGAATTGAGAAACTTGTTTGTCCACATTGAAATGTGGAAGTATCAAAGTTGGAAAGTTATCAATCAACCAAATTATATTATTAGTTTTAGCGCTGATTAATTACCTTTGACTTGAATACTCATCATCTTGGAGTGGACAAACAACTCGCCATCAGATCGTATAATTATCATCGATCTCTAATTAAGTTCTAGGTTCGAAACCATGTTGAGGGGTCGAATCGAGTTTCAATCGAGTCAATGTAGTGCAAGCTCGAGCTCTATCATTGATTAAAATTTGCTCTCGAGCTTAGTTCGATTCAATCGCAGTCAATTCCCGAAGGAACTTGAACTTGAGCTTACTGAGCTCGAATACTTTTCCCTCTCTATATATATTATGTAGATATATTCTTGGGTATAATATGCATTTAAAGAATTATGTGAATAACTTTTATGATCGTTAACTATTTAAGGAAAAACAATGCAAGCTTGATTAGGAGATCAGACTCTTCAGCCTGTCGAGCTGATTATGGATGAGTTTGAGCTCAATTCGAGAAAGTGTTAGATCAAGTTCGATAGCAACTTAAGACCAAGTCGCATCAGACTAGTTGATCTCCGATGATTATCTAAACAGGCTGGAGCTACTCACGCATAACTCACTGTTAGTTCGATTTGTTGTTTGCATTTCACCTGCGAAACAACAATGCAGAGAGTAAAGCGCTTGAGTATGTGCTCTTTCCTGGAAAGACAAGAGTTGCTTGTCATTGAAGCAATTGGTGGGTTAGGTACAGAGGGTCCATGCCCATTGTATTATATGTACGGAATGGATTTGAGTTGACTAGGAAATTAAGGCACAAGACAAGGCCTGTTCTTGTCCCTGCATGCATATAATTTCCAAGCATGTGTACCATGGCGAAGAATCTGTTCGCACTTTGTTGGAATTGGCGACGAGTGAATTCCTAGTCATTGAAAGTCATTTGATTACATCCTAGGGATATGTATCAGATGTCGATATAACATTTTCGTGCCAGTAGTGACATATAGGAACCGGTAACAAGCAAGCCGTTCATTCAACGGAGTAATGTCGTAATCAAGCACATCCCGCGTCGTGACGGCACAACCACTTTAGTGGTGCTCTGTGAACTTAGTGTGGCACAGAACAGAGATGAGGGACCATGGTGCCTAGCTACGTTGTGCCTGTCGGTATTAATGGTCAAGAATCATTTTGCTTGTTGCTTCTCATAAAACTCTGTCATCAATACTACTGTTTAAAATGTCACATTAACAAAGGGACCATCCGGGCTTCTACTTAACCCCATTCTCCATCTTCGAGAAGACGAACAACTCGCCACCGCAGCGTATGATTATCATTAATCTCTAATTAAGTTTTAGGTTCGAAATCATGCTGAGGGGTGGAATCAAGTTTCAATCGAGCCTATATAGTGCAAGCTCGAGCCCGACCGATGACTAAAAATCATTTTCGAGCTCGGCTCGATTCGATTACAGTCCATTCTCAAAGGAACTTGAACTCGAGCTTAATAAGCTCTAATATTCTTCCAGGTTCATATATTCTTGGGTATAATATGCATTTAAAGAAATCTACAAATAACTTTTTATGATTGTTAACTATGTAAGGAAAAACAATGCAAGCTTGATTAGGAGATCAGGCTCTTCAGCCTGTCGAGCTGATTATGGACGAGCTCGAGCTCAATTCGAGGAGGTACTAGATCAAGTTCGATTGCAACTTAAGACCAACTCGCATCAGACGAGTCGATCTTCAATAATCATCTAGCGAGGTTAGAGCTACTCACACATAACTTGACTCAGGTTCACCCCCGATCACGATAAGATACTATGAACAAGTTGCGACACATTTTTCAATCCATAAGGTAGAAAACCTAGACATTTGCTAAATCAAAAAGCACTCATCATGTCATTTGCATATTTGCAAACGCATAAGGGAACACAAGAATATGACCAAAAGCAGCAAATTTCACTATTTTACAAACTGATTAATTATGCTTAATCTAATTAAATAATCTCTAAACCCCAAATTTCACTAATTAATCACCCATCATTTCCCGCCACCGCTCAACTTCCATAACGAACAGAAGGACACAGGCTGACCTTTCCACCCCAAGCTGACGCAGCAATGGCAGCCACTGTCTTCCTCCACCTTCATCTCCCAGTTCCCGTCGTGCTTCCTCAGCAGAGCTCGGCCTCCGTCGACGGTGTCCTCGCCAAGGCCCTCCCCCGCAAACCCTGCCTCCCTCATCCGCTCGCACCACCTCTCCCGCCCCTCGTTCATCTCCGCCGCGCTCGTCAGCGCCCTCGCAGCCTCCCCCTCCATCATCCTCCTCTCCTCGCTCTCCCGCCCCTTGAACGCCGCACTCGTCGAGTCCAGGAAACGCCACAGGTACTCGATCCGCCGCGAGAATCCAGTCGCGAAGTCCACGCACCCGGAGCATGCGCAGTCCCCGTTGTTCTCGGTCAGGATCACACCCTTCGGGCTCAGGGCTCTAAGGGATTTGAGGAACTCGGTGCGGTCGCTGTGGCTCAGGTGGTGGAGGCGGAATTGGGCGGAGACGATCAGGGTTTCATCCGGGGAGGCGTCAATGGATTGGGGATTTAGGCCTTGGAGGGGGAGGTTGTCGAGGCGGTTGATTTGGAGGTTGATGTTGAGGGTCTTGGCGAACCCGAGGAGGAGTGGGGACACGTCGTGGCCTGGGGGAGCCATGGAGAAGGGCGTGTCGGAGTCGCCACCATCCCCCGTGGGAGAGATCACGGTGAGGCGGACCAGCAGAGGGGGCCCGCCGGGGCGGCGGCTCAGCCCATCCAGCAGCGTCGGCCACTGTGCACCGTGGGAGACGCCAATGTCAAGGATGTGGAGGTTCCGAGACTTGTCGGGTTCTTCGCTGAGGACTTGGAGGATGGAGGAGTTCACGATGTTGCTCGGGAATGCAAACCACGGGCTGCACTCATTGAACCTGAGGATAGATTTCTGGAAGAAGCGCAGCTCTGCGGTTGAGAATGTGAAAGGAGCTGATGATGGGAGAGAGGTGGATGAGGATAGGTGGTAGGTTAAGGCACGGAGGCCGTGAGAGGCGAGGCGATGGTTGGGATCTCCGGTCGGAGAGGCTAGCTCGTGGAGAACATAAAGGAGGTGTTGCACCCGCGTGAGATTGTTGGCAGCGATGGCGGCTGCGCACGGGTTGAGCAACTGCTCCGCCCACCTCCCTTCCTTGTTACCGCCGTTGCCGTTGTTTCCCGAGGACACAGCTGAGCGTTTCTTGTTAGCAGGTCTCTTCACTCCCGGCACCGGTTTTGCCGGCTTCACATCGATGGATCCGGAGTTCTCAATGGTACTAAGACTTCGGTTTCTCCTTTGGGCGTGATCTTGATTATCTAATGATGCTTTCCTTTTCTTGGACGATTCTTGTGTGACCGACTCTTCTGAATGGTTAGTGGTGGTGGTAGGATTTGTGGCTGTGGGTGCGGTGTCTGGGGTGGTATCGGTGTGAGTACTACTGTCTGCTGTGGTGATGGTGCTGGTGATGGAAGTTGCACTGGTGTTGATAAGATCGTGCGCGAAATCTTGATTTGGATCCCACCAGTCGTAGCAATTGATCTCGGTAGAGTCATATGGATCATCGAGAAACGAAGGGAAGAATGAGACCGAATCCTCTATCCAGCCTAGGACGTGAGGATTTGGCTCTGCTTCCTCAATGGTCATTTTTGCTCGATAGGAACGACGATGACTGTGTGCTGGGGGAGAGAGAGATAAGGAGGAGCGGTTTGCATTTAAGAATGCGTCTGATCATTGACCAAGCAGGAGGAGGATAGAGATGGCATTAACAATTGCGCTTAAACAAATGCTTTGGGCAGTGACGTGTTCAGGAAGAGGACGGTGGAGAGCATATTCTTTATGTGTTGGTGTGATGTTCATTTGGAAGTAGTGGTGTTTTGTTGAGGTTCTTTCAAGGGTTTTAAAAAAGAGCAAAAGACACGAATCCTTCATGCTTCTTTGTTCTGGATATTAACCTATTCTCTTGGATGGCATGGTGGTTGAGATCTACGAATGACTGTGGGAGAGAGAAGGTTGAAGACAGAGATGGGTTGAATGTGAATTGTCAAGAGCCGGCAAGCTACATTTAATATTGGGATTCTTTGTTTTGGCATGCTCTGCTTTGTCCGTTCTGAAGGTTGGCTCTGCGTGACAATTTAAGGTTAGAATACTATGTTTATGATGGTTAAATATAAGGAACTTTTTGTCCTTTCTGTTGCTACCTCCTAAATCAGGTCACCACTCACGCTGCTCCATGTTGACTCGATCCTATTGGTTCTGTCTTTATTTTTGGAATCATATTTGCTTGCATTCTGTTCTTCTCTGAGATGGCACTGATGAATACATTTCAACAGTTCTACAGAAAATGGTTGTCCTCTCTTATACAATTCAGTTCTCTAGGAAGGTTTGCAGCATGGAAGACAAGCAATTAACTCATGAAATCCTTACCTATGTGTAACTGATTCCTAGCTGAATGGCCAGGGATATCCTCCTGCAAGTTCTTGTATATGCAGTCGAAGCATAATCGCTCTGCTGTGTCTATGAATGAGGACCGACTGCAGTAAAGCAGAAGATTTAGGGGGTGGAAATCCGTTAGACCTCTATTTTTTAAGTTCTGATTCATATTGAAGACTTGCTCTGTTTTGTTGGCGTCCATTCTAGGACCAATTGATGACAATACATTGTTTCGGAAGTTGACCACTCTGGGGAATACATCAAACATGCAGGCTCTTTGAAGAGCAAGGAAAAAAGACTGATGGATACAAGATTGTCTCTATCTGGAATGACCTTTACGTTTTTTCCTTTCGCTAAATCCGAATCTTGCAATTCATGCAATTTGCCTTTGTCTAAACCCGAAATTTTCTGAAACTTCCATTTAACACGTGAATTCACATGTGATATTTTCTTAATATTTTGAAACTGGAATAGTACTTGAAATTTTGTGGGAAACAGAGAAGTACTTTCTCTTTTGTTACAGTGTAAACAAACAGGCTTGAGTGAATGATGGTAACAGCCAGTGGGGCAAGAAAGATCATTGAACTTCAGGCATAATAGTAAGGAAGTTGAAGAGGAGGGATTGGTCTTGCTCGAGTGGTGACCAGATCCGGAGCCGGACCTATCTCCAGAGGTGATGACTACCCAGCTCTCTCTCCCCGTCTGCTGTTAATGTGGACCGCGTCTTTGCCATGCGGCGTCCACGTCATCAATTTGCAGGCATCTTAAAAAGAAACACATTAAAGTATGAAATGCAAATTATTTTTATCAATTTTCTATTTAGATCATTTCTGGGAGGGGTGCCAGAATAGTCTTTCAAAATTCATGGGAAGTTCAAATATAGTAGCAAACTTGAAGAGGCGTCGGAGTAATTTACTCTAAATTTTATATGTCAGACTTTGCGAAGAATGACTACTGGTTTCTGTTTTCTTCAAGGTCAGGATGATTGCTTTGTGAACAAATGAGAGAAGGTGACTTTGGAGATCAAACAAATTCAGACGTCAGCTTGGTGAGGTGATAAATCCAGAAAGCTAAGTAAGTTCATAAACTGGCAGAATTTCAAGGGGAAAGGAAATCTGACTGTGAAAAGATTATATCTGTACCTAGAACTTCAGAGACCAGATTGGAAGATGATAACATGTATTTTACGCGAATCATTGATCAGCTGATATGTAAGAATGCGACGGTTAAGAAATTGAAACAATCTTACCGAGTTCTGTTCTTCCTTTTGATTATGCAGGAAATACGTCAAACATGGGATCATCTATCCTCCTTCCTGCAAGATCAGGAGCATCCATCCTTTCCGGGACTTTAATGTTCACCAGCTTTCCTTGGAACTGTTCTGCTAAGCCGAGATGCGCCATAAGGAGGCATACGTGAGTCAGCAACTCTCCACCTCGTCGGAGTTGCTGCGCGTGGTTGTTCCACTCGCACTTGCCCGCCGCGTAAATCAGCATCTCGACCCAAACTTCGCATACCATGTCCCATAATTGCTCCTTCGTCCAACCCAACTCCATCACAAGCGACTGAAATCCTTCAGCGAGTCTACGGCCATTTAGCAGCACCAAGCTGCTCGTACTCATTTGTAGAGAATGTAAGGTTTGCTTGTATTCCTTAAAAAATAGATCTCGGGCAACTCTTCCACTCTTTGTTTTCAACCCTTTTTGGCGAAAGAAAGCCGTCACCTGCTTGTACGTCTCTTCGAGATATTTCGTCCGACCAATTGATTTAGGTAGCAAAAAGGGACGTGCGACTTGGATATGAAGCATGTAATCAGACAGTAATTGGCTCATTTTGCAAGCGGAAATGCCGTCTTCGTTGAGGTCGGAGTAGTAGCAGAGATCAGTAGCTATGTGCCAAAGTAGGAGGCTCTGATCAAAGTCTGTACTAATGGTGCTCCACTGGAGTTCTCTGAGACAATTCCTCTTCTGAAGCGCGAAATCACCTCTTTCATCTAGCAACTCCTTGATGATTCTGGGATCAAACCCCAAATCGCTGCATCTAGAATGATTCTCCTTCAGTCGCTTGAAGATCTGTTCTTTTAAAACGTTGCTCACTTCCACCTGCATCACTTGCCAATATGTTTCTAACATGAAATAGAAGCCAAACGGCTCGTCTTCAATGAACTTCACGGACCTGTTAGTTGAGCAATAGCTTATTAAGTTGAGTTGTCCCATGGATCCTGACCACCTCTTGTTGTAGAGCGAAAATAATCGGGAAGACGATGTCGTTCGATACAGGAAATCCCCAAATGGCTTCCTCAGCTTTATCAACAACAGCATCGTCCAATCGGACAATACAGCAGTGAATCCTGCGTAAACCTCCAAAGCAACAGCTCCCACCAGCAATAACATAGTTATTGCCACATCGACGGGCGAGTAAACACGCTTGTCAATGGCAATGCAAAAGATTATCAGCACAGAAACAGCGGACGAGAAGGTAATGAAACGAAGGAGGATGCCGGGTATAGAGTAGACTATTTTTGCCTTCGTGTAGAGCAGGTCATACATTAGACTCAGCTCGACTTCAACCAATTTGAATGCTTCTTCGGCCGATTTCTTGCAAATGATCCTGTAGCTGTATTCGGCTTCATCGGAGTTAAGTATGACACCAGTGAACAGATGCTTGAACATGTCGAACAGGTAAAAGGCTTCGTGGAGGTACTTCTCGTCGGGCCTTAGATTCATGGCTCGTAACTGAGTAGGTGCCGACAGTTCGGGGTCTTGAAAGTGGTCGGAGCTCGCGGACCTAAGCGCCCAAGTCCTCTCTCCGTACTTTATTACGCCGGAGATGAACACGGGGATCGTTATAAACGTGAGAACGCTCGTGCTCCAAGAAGTGAGGAAGGCGTAAAAGGCAGCGACTACTTGGGTTACTAGGCCGAGCAAGTGCCTCGACCATAACTCGTTGTCCTCGGTTGAGTAAGCGGTGATGGTATCAGGGCCTCCGAGGTGTAAGAGGAGGAACGGGGACCAAAACACCAGCAGCCTGCCGTTTGCGTCCGAGGAATCTCCTCCGCTGCTGCTCGAGACGAGCCCCAGCGACAGTGTCGCGACGGAGTCTGCCAATAAGTATGATAACCAGACGAGGAACGCGATCCAGCTGGCTTTCGTGGATTTCCGCCTCGAACCGAACATCACCAGCACGATTTGCAAGACGAGGCTCGCTATGATCATCACCCGGAGCTCCCATTCGCTCCACAGCTTCTTCACATTTTCCGGGAAAATTTGGATGGTCTTCCTCGCGGCGAGAAAGATTAGGCCACTGGCGACTGAAAGCGCATAAAATCTCCATCGATAGTCGTACTATTTAAGCGGTGAATCAAAGTAAACAGCAATCAACCGGGTGCGGACATTAGCCTCGAATAGCTCAAGAGAAAAACATTTACCAGTTGACATTGTGAAACTGGGCGGGCTCAAAACTTCGCAGCAATTAGGAATCCATACTTACTGCAAAACATGGAGTTTCCAGTACAGCCAGTATTACATTATAAAAAAACGAAACAGGTGAGATCATCATGAGCATTACCTGTATTTAGGGAGTTCAAACTCGCTCCGCGTTGTAATGATCTTGATCAAAGCATGACTGTATTTGCCTGGTGAAGATCTGCCATGAGGGAATGTGATCAGTAAAGTGTAGATGAGAGTCGATGTTATACTTTGCTTCCTTCCGAAGTGAAAAGCTAAAGGCTTAAAGTGCATTGGGTAATGACAATGCGAGCGGGATATGAGCTCACAGAACCAAACGTTCAACTCTGTACATGACCCACGGGCGTTGTTTGAGTCAACCATGGGCCGTCAATCGTACGGCAATCCGGGACGCATTGCTGGCACAAAAGCCTTTGAAAGTAGCATTGTAATATATGGCCCAATAATCACAGCCCATTATAAAGCCCAAGCCCTACCCATTTTCTCCTTTCTTCTCAACACATAGTGCAAATGAGCGTAAAAGAAAGAGGGAAAGAGCACCGGCCGTGCCACGTAAGATCGCCAGCATCCACATCAGCAACTCCCGCCCTAAATTGGTCGAATAGACTCGATTGGTACCAATGTGAAAAAGTTTATGACTAACTGGTCACATTGAAATGTTTGGGACTGAATTAGTATCGATGCAGTAGGTTTAAGACTTTTTTAGTACTTTTCCCTTCAAATTTCAATATAAGCATCGGTGACATA